AAAAAAAAAAAGTTGTTTTGGGAACTTCTAAGTGCTCATAAGGATGCTGTTGCTGTACTGTTCTTCTGGAAGGAACCATTATCCATGGTATCCCTTGGAACCCATCAAATAGGTTTCTTCCTAGTCTGGGTAGATTGACCACATTGGTGGTAACTTCATCTCATTTCTCTCCCTCGATGCCTGGCCGCCACCAGCCACTGGAACCAGGGTCTCCACAATCGCCCGAGCACTTGGAATCAGTAAGATTCTTTTCCTCTGGCTCGGGGCTTGGCCTTATCTCCCTTCACTGCTCAGCATGGCTTTAGTGGGCAGAGAAGCTGTGATGTGGGGAGGGGACTGTGTTTGGCCCTGTGGCTGCCAGCCCTAAACACAGCCCCATAAAGGTGTGCTGAGCAGAGCAAAGTGGGCACGGCAGGACCCGCCATTGCAAGAACAAGTGCATGGCATGGGCCTGGCAGGCAGTGGCAGCGGCAGCGGCCGATTCTCTCAGCCTGGCTTTTCTTTGTCTCTTGGATAGTTACCGCACTTCCCTGGGGGTGGTGAGGACTGTGGGTAAGGTGTAGCACCGTCACGCCCTCACCTGTCTGTTGCTGTCCACCTTTCCCCTAAGCATGGCTTGATAGATCGTACCTACCTGCATCCATCATTCAAACCAGCTTTTCTTTCTGGGTTGTTAGGCCAATTGGATCCGCTCAGGTTGGTGGGGTTCTGCTTCTCCCCTTATCTTACTAGTCCAGCTTTCTTTCTCTCCCCACGAGCAGCAGCAGAAACGACCCAATCCTGAGCTCCGTAGAAATATGACCATCAAAACTGAACTCCCGATGGGCGCCCGTGAGTATGAGAGTGGGCCTCAGACCCGCCCAATCCTGGTTCTGGCTCCTGTCTTCGAGTTATGCCTCTAACTCAGGAAGGGATTTGAGCCCGTAGTCTAGCAGAGCTCCTGGAGTGGGAAGCAGGAGACCCTACTGCTACTACTGATCTCCCTGTGAACTTTCCTGCTTCCTCCTAGGTCGAAAGATGAAGCCACTGCTCCCGAGGGTCAGCTCATACCTGGTGCCCATCCAGTTCCCAGTGAACCAGTCCCTGGTACTGCAGCCCTCGGTGAAGGTGCCATTGCCTCTGGCGGCTTCACTTATGAGCTCAGAACTCGCCCGTCACAGCAAGCGAGTACGCATCGCGCCCAAGGTGCTGCTAGCCAGTGAAGGGATAGCCCCACTTCCTGCTGCAGAACCCATGAAGGAGGAGAAACCCCTGCTCGGCGAAGGGTTGCTGCCTCTGCTTCCAATTCAGTCTATTAAGGAGGAAGAAATCCAGCCTGGGGAGGAGAGGCCTATCAAAGTGGAGAGCCCGCCCTTGGAAGAGTGGCCCTCTCCGTGTGCGTCCCTGAAGGAGGAACTATCCAACTCCTGGGAAGACTCCTCCTGCTCTCCTACCCCGAAGCCCAAGAAGTCCTACTGTGGGCTCAAGTCCCCAACCCGGTGCGTCTCAGAAATGCTGGTGACTAAGCGGAGAGAGAAGAGGGAGGTGAGCCGGTCTCGGAGGAAACAGCACCTCCGGCCTCCCTGTCTGGATGAGCCTGAACTGCTCTTCTCAGAGGACCCCAGCACCTTGCGACCAGCCATGGAACCCCTCCTCCTGGCAGAGTCTTCAGAGCCTACGCCCCAGCTCAGCTGCCCTCCCGAGGAAGGAGGACCTTTCAAGACCCCCATCAAGGAGACCTTGCCCGTCTCCTCCACTCCTAGCAAGTCTGTGCTCTCCAGAGACCCTGAGTCCTGGAGGCTCACATCCCCAGCCAAGGTTGGGGGCTTAGATTTCAGCCCAGTACGAACCCCCCAGGGCGCCTTTGGTCCCCTGCCTGACTCCCTGGGGCTGATGGAGCTGAATACCACACCTCTGAAAAGTGTTCCCCTCTTTGACTCGCCCAGGGAGCTCCTCAACTCAGAACCCTTTGACCTCGCCTCTGACCCGTTCAGCAGCTCTCCGCCCCCACATCTGGAGGTCCCCAAGCCAGGTTCCCCTGAGCCACAGGCTCCCAGCCTCTCGGCCAACCGTTCTCTCACAGAAGGCCTGGTCCTGGACACAATGAATGACAGCCTCAGCAAGATCCTTCTAGACATCAGTTTCCCCGGCCTGGAGGACGACCCTCTAGGCCCCGACAACATCAACTGGTCTCATTTCATCCCCGAGTTGAGATAGAGGCAAGGCCTTGCCCTTGCTGTTCAATGCCTGCTATCCTGGCACTTGTGTGGCTGGATAGTGCAGGCTCAGTGTACCCCAAGCCGTCTGAGGGAAGCTGTCAGGCAAGGGCCGAGCTGTGCCCCTTGACCTAATTATGCCAAGATGATAGTCACATCTAAGCCACTGCTGGGACCTATGCAAGCAATAGGTCTGAGTCCTCCTCTCTCTGCTGGCAACTGAATGGTGGGTGTGCCGAAAGCAGTGATGATCAGGAAGTGTCCATTAGTGATCCACTGCTCCTGGCAGAATGTCCTCGTAAATGGTGTAAGTCCCCCAAATTGTCCTCTAATTATAAGCGTAAGCTTATCTCCTTAGATTATTACCCAGAGACTGCCAGGCTGGGTAGGGTCACAAGGGGTTGCACTTAGCTTCTGCTTGCGGCCTTTGCGGGAAGGGCCTGCGGGGCAGTTTCTTCCACACTTGTGGGTTCTGCTGTAGGCTTCTGCGCATACAGGTTGGCTTGCCAGGATCCCGCTTACTGCCCTTTCCTCGCAGCTCCCCATGTTTCCAAGCCAGTGGTCCTGCAAGAAGAAATCCTGGTGTAAAAGCATATTGGATTTGGGTGTAGGGGGACAGGTGCGCCTGAAGCAAAGCATGAGTTCCGTTAGGTGTTTCTCTGACAGTGTTCCTAACCATGCCAGGGAGTGTAGCATTGAGAACTCAGACTGAAGCCTGAGGAGGAGGAAGGGACCCCTGGCTTCCTTAGCCTACACCTGTGCTATACAAAGAGCCACCCTAAGTCCCCCCCTCTCTCTCCCCCCTCCCCCGTACAAGCTAGCACACGAACACTACTGTAACTACCTACTGAATAAAACACAGGTGGCACTGCTGGTCTGAAGGAACTGAATGCGGGGTGATGGTGGAGCCTGGAGATGATGGGCAGGGCCGTACTTGCTGCATAGGCCTTTCACAGATGTTTCCTCCCACAGTCTTTTCTGACTCTGAAATTGCCAGTTTTGTCTGATGTGATGATTCATATCTATAGTCTTAGCCTTTAAGAGGTAGAGGCAGGAGGATCAGCCAGTCTAGCTACGAGAGATCCTGTCTCCCACAGTGTTAATTTTTCCCTCCTGCCCCATTGCACTGCCCACCTCTTTCCTGCTGACATTGTTCCATGGGACCAGAAACAACAGCAGTTGTCCTCCATTTCCCTCCCATTCCATTCAACATTCCAGCCAGAAAGCTGGGCCCATTGCACACGTCTCATTACCACCTCTGTCCCTGCCCCAAGCCTGGGAGGCAGCCTACTTCCTCCTCTGGAGCCTTCCCAGGCAAGGCCCTCCCAGGAGCTGCTCCTGTTTCCATGCTTTGTAACCAGAACGGAGAGAGCACTGCCCCCTCTCTACCTCACCAGAAAAGCATCAGGGACTTCAGAGCCTCCCAGGACAGGCCAGGGCCTCCCCCAAGCGCCACCACCAAGTAAACATCACCATAGCAACCCTAGCAAGTCTAGCAGCTAATAATGGCAACAAAGAGGGCTTTCCCCCAAAGCCTCCCCCTCCTGGCTCTGTGGCTCAGAGGAAGAATGACCACCAGCTTGAAAAGATCCCTCCAAAAGCCCAACACGAGTGAGGTGTCACATGTCAGAGAGCCTTTCCTGAAGGTACAGTGGGGGCCCAACTCCACAGCCAGCCTTTCAGGTTGTACTGAGCAATCTGGTACATGAGCTGTCTTCTGCCTTCATCCTGTGGTACCCTGAATTTGGAGCTCAGAAAAGAAAGGAGGAACCTGCCTAGCAGGTTGAAGAGGCCTTCTCTAAAGGGCTTGGGACCAAAAATGCTTAGCTTTGGGATTTCTTTTTTGGGTTTCGGAGTATTTGTGTGCATGTCGTGAATTATCTTGGGAAAGGACCCAAAACTTTACGTGAAATTCCTTTATGTTTTATATGTACCTTATACACAGCCTGAAGGTGAGTTAATGCATGCAATATTGTTAGGATGTCTGTGAAATTAGCCGAGGCTAATCAAAAAGGCGTTTTCCACTTGCGAAACCATGCCTTTGTCCAGGAAAAAGTAACATTTTTCAGCATCTATGATCTTGCATCTTCAGGTTTTAGGGTGCTTGTTTTTGTTTAGTTGAGGCAGTCTTACTATGTAGTCCTGGCTAACCTGATACGATTAGCCTGCAGTAGCCCTGCCTTAACCTCCCCAGGGGCTGGTATTATAGATCTGTGCCGTCATGCCCAGTTCTAATTTTGTTTGACTTTATTTTTGAGGCAGAACCTCCCTGTGTATCCCTGGTTGAAGTGCATACCTAGACCAGGTTACTGTGGAACCTACAGAGATCTGCCTCTATCTGCTAACTGGAGTTACTAGCACGCATAGTCACGCCTGGGAGAGACGAGACAGGCCTCGTCAGCTCTCAGAACTTCCCTCTAGGGCTACTCTTGTAGGAAAGACTTAGGAAATTAGTACAGTGATTTTAGCATTCATCAGCCTGGTCCACCCAGGTTACAAACGAGCTTGTGTCTCACAAAATCACAAGGAAGGAAGGAAAAAAAGACTAAACATACAAGCAAGCCAGCAGGATAGCTGAGGTGGTAAGGACACTTGCTGTGCCTGACTGCCTCAGCGCCAGCTCAAGAATCCACATGGCAGAAGAACAGTTCCTACAAGCTGCCCTCAGACTCTTGCATGCATGCTATGATGTGCATGTATGTGCACATACTGTAGGTGTTTTGTTTTTAATTTTAGAGAAATATGAGTAAGGGGATGATGCTAAAGAAACTAGTAGGGTTTTGGAGGAAAGGCCTACAGCGGGTGAGAGGAAGGAACACTTTAAAAAGACATTTCTGTGCTGGTCAGATGATAAGCAAGCCCTTGGCCATGGTTCACATAGCTAAGGGTACTGAGTTTGAACACAGCTCAAATCTGAGCTCTCCCACTCATGAGACCTTGTGTAGGTTCCTCAGTGTAGCAGGGTCTTTCTACATCTGACATAGGGACATCGTTGCCAATTGTGCTTGTTGGTTTTCTACTGCTGAGACGAAATACTGGTGCTAACTCAAAAGAGGAAAGGTTCACTGGGTCTCATGGTAGAGGCTTCTCAGCGTGTGGCCATTTGGCCTTGTTGCTCTGGACCTGTGAGGCAACAGGTGGGGAAGAGCATGGCAAAGGAGCTGTTCACCTCATGGGTACCCAAAAGCAAAGAGGCAGGAAGAGCCCTGGGTCCCACAGTTCCCCTTAAAAGCCCCCAGTAGTCTAACTTCTATTAGGCTCTCAACCTATCTTCTACTGCCTCAGTAGAATCAGTCAGTCCTCAGACTGGAACCCAGCCTTTTACATGAGCCTCCTCTTTTTTTTTTTTTTTTTTTTTGGTTTATTATGTATACAGTGTTATGACTGCATGCACTCCTGCACGCCAGAAGGGGGCACCAGATCCTACTATAGATGGTTATGAGCCACCATGTGGATGCTGGGAATGGAACTCAGGATTTCTTTACAGGAGCCTTTGAGGGACGATAGCAGAGGGATGTTTGTTCGTGGGGGTGTAGGGAACAGAGCACAGAGAAGGTAGGGAAAGAACATTCTAGATAGCTTTCTAGATCAACTGACCTAATGAGAAATGAGGGGAAAGTGCCGATGACAGAACAGGTAAGAAGTGTACTCTGGGATAGAAAGCCACCTGGCCCTTGTTTTGGGAGACTTCCTAGGATGTCTCCAGGACCATGAACAAGGGAAGGTAGGCTTCTAGAATGGCTGGCATGAGTCATCCCCTAGGTCTGATGCATCTACAGGGATACATATGAGGACATCAGAATGGAGGTGAGTGTGAAGACTGAAAGTTGGGGCCAGTGGGGTGACTCAAGGGCGTTTGCCCCTGAAACCTGAACCCGAGTTCAGTTCCCTAGAGCGCATGGTGAAGGAGAGAAGTGACATCTGTAAGTTCTGACTTCCACAATCACCCCATAACACCCACAAATACACACTAAATAAAAATTTTAAGCAAGTTGGGGCTAAAGAGATGTTCAGAGTTTAAGAGCACTGGTTGCTCTTCTAGGGGACCTAGTCCCCAGCAACTACCTACATGGTGGCTCATAACCATCTCTTAACTCCAGTTCCAGGGGATTTGATGCCTTTTCCTGGCCTCCTTTGGCACTGGGCTTATTTGTTGCACACAGATATATACATAGGCAAGACATGCAGACACCGAGCTTTTTAAAAAAGATAAATTATATATATGTATGTGTATCTATATATCTCACCCCCCCCCCCCAAGACAAGGTTTCTCTGTGCAGCCCTGCCTGTCCTGGAACTCATTTTGTAGACCAGGCTGGCCTCAAACCCTGAGATCCACCTGCCTCTGCCTCTGCCTCTGCCTCTGCCTCTGGCGGGATCAAAAGTGTGTGTCACCACCCCCAGCTTTTATATTTAAGTTTTAAAGAGTGAAAATTGAGAGAAAATGGGAGCTCAAAACAAAAATATCAATGAAAAAGGAATGTGATTTGGTAAGTATGGAAATGACTTGGAGGATAGTGCAGTAACTTCTGGGTTGTGGCAATTGTCTTGTTGAAACAAAGTACCTGACAAAGCAAAGATTGTTTTGGCTCAGTTCAGGTCTCTAGTCTATCATGGCGGGAGCTTGAGGCAGCTGTGCACAGTGTTGGCCAGAAGCAAAGAGATAAATGCTAATGCTCAACTTGCTTTCGACTTTTTATTCCCTTCAAGACCCCTGCCATCGCATGGTGGTACCAGAGTCAATGTGGCTCTTTCCACCTCAGTTGACCTAATCTAGATAATCCGTTTCACACATGCCAGAGGCACGCAGCATCCTGTGTGAGTAACCTGTCAAGCCGACAATGTGAAAAGGGACGGAGACATCTCAGTTTGTAAAGCCTGAGGGCCAGAGTTCATTCCTGACAAGTCATATTAAGGAAGAAGAAGAAAAAAAACTTTGCATGGGGCTAGAGAAATGGTTCAGTGGTTTAGAACATTTGCTGCTCTGACAGAGGACCTGTGTTAGATTCCCAACACCCACATGGCAGCTCACAACCATCTTTAACACCAAGCACACGCATGGTACACGTATTTGTTGGCAAAACATACATATAAAATAAGTATTTTTACAAGTTTTTTTTAAATTTCTCATGGTAATACTTATAATCCGAGGGTTGGCCTTTGGGGTGGGGAGAGGTGAATTCTTGAGTTTTGATGGCTAATGGCCAGTCCATGTAGCCAGATCAATAATTCCCAGACCAGTGAGAGATGACCTGTCTCAAAAACAAAAAAAAACCCAAGATGGATGAAGGTTGTCTCCTGACTTACACACACACACACACACACACACACACACACACACACACTCTTCTCATAGAGTGGGAATGGAGAGATGCCTCCTTGTGGGGGGTCATCTACGTTCTGATGAGTCCTGGATTGGAGAAGGCTGGCAGCTTGTGCCTAGGAAGGAGAGCAGAATACCTCTCCAGCATCCTGGTCCTCTGCTGGCACAGCCATTCTAGGCTCCCTTTCGTGTCTCCCTAGATGGTCCATGCCAGAGAACCCTTCCCAACCCACCAGACCTGGACTCAGCGTGAATTCCTTCTCCCCAGAGAGGCCAAGTTGACAGGCTTCACCCAGCAAGCCTTCCACAAGCTGGTCCAGAAGCAGCCACCATGCACAGACATGAAGTCTATGGTGCACCACCAGGTAATCTCTCCTCGGAAGGATGCAGCCCAGCACTCCTGGGGCTTTCACACATGGCTCGACGTGGGACGTTTGCCTGCCCTCTTCCCCAGCAGGCCGGACAAACCCTATGACAGCAATGTCTGGCGCTGTCTGACTCACACCAATGTCCAGAGCCTCCCTCCGGCACAGACTACCATCCCTCCTCCCTCCAGGCTGGGCCGCCACAGCTTCTTGACCTTCATCAATGCTACCCCAATCTTCGTGGACAAGAACAGGAAGAACCAGGTGATTGCAAGAACAGTGAAAGAACTGAAGGAGGTGAAGAAACTCAAGCTGAGAAGCGAACTAAGGGCCCCTCCACTCGACATCTATGGCAATATTCTTCCCCCACCAAACTTCAAGATGTAAGCTCACCCCTTCTCAGGCCGTGATACTTCCCATGTTCATGTGCTCCCCACCCTCACACCCCAACTTCTTCCCATTCCTGTTTCTGGTATCTAATTTGCTTCTCCAGCTTTCTCCAGCTATGGTTACCTGCGCCTTTTTCTTTTGTGGAGCTGGGACCTATGGCCTTGCAAATACTTTGCAAGTGTTCTGCCATGGAGCCATACTCCCAACTGCCTCCTGAAAGTAGCTGGCTACATGATGTGCACACAGGAAACATAGCCAGTAGAAGAGCACTTTATTATTTAAAAATGGCGAGGGTGTACTATGAATTTAACATTTGCTTGGCCTAGAGATACTGAGAAGTGTAATTTAGTTTCTGCCTTCAACAGATGGGAAGGGACAGCTACCAAAACCATACTGTACCTTGTAAAGCACCCATAGTGTGCATGTGTGAGAGAGAGAAAGACAGAGTCACTATTACATGTATTTTGTTTTATTGAGGCAGGATCTCACTATGTAATCTAGGCTAGCCTTGATTGGCAATTCTCCTGCCTTAGCCTCTTGAGTGCTAGGATTACATATGTATGCCATCATGGCTGGCTGGCATTTTTTTTTTCTTTTTTAGGTTTTTTAATTATGTGTTATGGGTGTTTTGCCTGTATGTATGTCTGTACACCACAAGCATGCCTAATGGCCGAGGAAGCCAGAAACAGCCATTGGATCGCCTGGAGCGAGCCTTTCAGACAGTTGAGAGCAGCTGTGTGGATGCTGGGAATTGAACCTGAGCCCCCTGGGAGAGCAGCTAGTGCTCTTAACCACTGAAACATCTCTCTCCAGGCCCCCTCTTCTTTCTTTCTTTCATTTCTTTCTCTTCTATTCTTTCCTTTTTTTTTTTTTTTTTCTTCTTCTCAAGACAGGGTTTCTCTGTATAGCCTTGGCTGTCCTGGATTCACTTTGTAGACCAGGCTGGCCTCAAACTCACAGCCATCTCTGCCTGCCTCTGTCTCCCTGAGCAATGGGATTAAAGGTGTGTGCCACCACCCCTGGCTTCTTTTCCTTTTTTTAACAAGAAGGAGAATACAGAAATGTATTACATGCCCAAGGCACAAGAATACTAAATCTTTCTTCTAAAGGTGGAGTCTCATGTAGCCAAGACTGGTCTTGAAGTGCTGAAATTATAGACATAGACTGCTGCATCTGGCCCGCAAATTCCATTATGAATGGAGAAAGCAAAAATGAAATGTGGGGTCAGAACAAGGTCCGGGGATGAGATGGGTTGCCAGTATGTAAAAGAACCAAACCAGGACTTCAGAGCACAGCTCAGTGGGGGTTATTTGCATGCTCAGGGCCTTGGGTTCTCTCCTTCACACAGAAAAGAAAAGAAATATGGGAGAAAGACAATGAACCAAAGTTAGACGTTATCTTAGGGGGGAGGGGGAATTCATGAGGTGCCACCTCTCCCTCCCTGAGTTATTAGTAACTAGTGACGGCTCCCAGAGGAGAGATTTCCTTCAAGGATGTAGCCAGGGGAAGGCGCCCAGGCTCATGCTCCTAATGAAACACGTTGGATCATACACGTTGGTTGGGAAGAAGAAAGGGGTCCCTAGGAAAGGAGAACAAGAAAAGGTAATGAGAGTGAATATGATCAAGGTACATTATATACAGGACTAACAACGGAATCCATTATGTATAACATATGATAATTAAAAACATTAGAAATTTGATGTTAAGAAATTCATAGGCAGGCAGGACTACTGTGGGCTAGAGAGTCCCCCTCCACCCCTTGAAGTTTAACGGAGAAAACAGGGTTAAGGCCAGAAGGTTTGAAGGCCTTTAGAAGATTACAGAGGAGGGGATTGAACCATGCAGGCCCAGCTGGAATGACCCCAGCAGAGACAGACATTAGAGCTGTTTGAGAATTATATAGTTCCTCCCATGCCTGTCCCTCACAGGGATGGGTGCATGTGAGTGTGTGTGTGTGTATGGGTGTGTCTGTGTGAGTGTGTCTCTGTGTATATGTGTGCATGTGAGTCTATGTCTGTGTGTGTGTACACAGGTGCTCACGGAGGCCAGAAAGGGACATCGGATCCCTTGGAGCTGGAGTTCACTGGCTTTTGTGAGCCCCTCACATAGTTGCTGGGATCTGAACCCTGCTCTTCTGATAGAGCACTAAGGCCTCTTGACCACTGAGCCATCTCTCCAGCCCTAAGAGAATTTTCTTTTTTAAACAGGGTCTCTCTGTAGCCTTGGCTGGCCTGGAAACTCAGTGCTAGGAGGAAAGGTGTGTGCCACCACACCTAGGGACTTGTAGTGAAAAAAAAAACGAAACAATGAAAGCAGTGAAGCTTGGGACTGCAGCTCAGGGCCAGGACACTTGTCTAGCATGTCCAAGGCCAGGCTCTGCCTCCAGCTCTTGCACAAGCAGGCACGTGGAGATGGCCCAGCTGGCAAGCACCAGGACCTGAGTTTGACTCCTCGGCACCTGTGCGGAAAGAGCTGGGCACAGCCATGCATGCCTGTGACCCCAGCAATGTCGGGGGGATAGAGACAGGCAGATTTTGGGAGCTCACTGGCCAGTTAGCCTAGCTGAAATGTTAAGTTTCAGATTCGGGGAGAGACCCTGTCTTAAGAAGGCAGAAGGCGATGGCTTCCTCTAGCCTCTGCACCAGCAGCTGTACACACACATATGCACACAGCACATACATGTACCAAACACATGTGTTTCTATCCACAAATACTTTTTAAAATATGGCACCAATGGCTGGTGACTTTTCGAGATGAGGATCCTGGCTTCCTGTCCATACATGAAGACTACTGGTAACTAATGTGTATCACTCAGGCTATTCAGAAAGATTCACAGTTGTGTGGGACACACCCATAATTCTGGCACTTGGGAGAGACTAGGAAAAATCAGGAGTTCAAGGCCATCTCTGACTACATACAAAGTTTGAGGCCAGCCTGGGCTACAGGAGACCCTCTTTCAAAAAAGAGGGTGGGTAGGTACCTAAGCTCAGTTAGTTGGGAGAGTACTCACCTAGCATGCACAGAGTCCTGGGTTCTATGCCCAGCACCACACAAACTGGACATGAGCCAGGTTCCATGAGATTCTATCTTAATCCGTAGGACTCTGGATAGAAACTCAAGGTCTTGTACATGTTTGGCAAGTTTTCTACTGCTGGGCTGCATCCCTGGGGAACTTTTCAAAATATAACATGGGTGAGGGCATGGCTCAGGAATATAGTTCCTTGCCTACCATGAAAGAGGCTCTAAATTCCAATTCTGCACCAATGATAATTCATAATAAATAATAATAAAAACAACTTTCTGGGGTGATTCTCATGTGTAGCTGTAGCTGAACTACACAAATACTCAAATAAACCAAAAGCAGCAAACAAGAATACCTGCTGAACCAGGCATAGAGCCTGTTGAAGGACAGAAAATCTGTTAATATTCAACCGTGTTGTTTTCTTTCTAAGTCAATTTGCTACTGTTCAATTTAACACTACAGGCTGACCAAGAAGAGGAAGTTACCTCCGGTGCTGCGGTGTTCCCATCTGGACTGCACTGGTAGAAAAGATGTGAAGGACATCTGGAATCTAGATAAAATCATAACAAAGTCAGGCATGGTGGCACAACCCTGTGATCTTAGCACTCTGAAGGTGGAGGCAAGAGGATCTCGAGATGGAGACGGGCATGGACCACTGATGCGGAAAGAAGATTGAAGGAAGCAAAGAGCCAATAATCGGGTTGGGGTGTAACTCGGTGGTGGAATGCTTGCCAAGCACTTGTAAGGCCCTGGGTTCGATCCCTAGCACCCCATATATATATATATATATATATATATATATATATATATATATATATA